TTTGGCCCAGTTACTGACTCTTAGCCTAACATGTATAATAGAGAGGGGGGAGGAATATATGAGCTGCCTGGGGTTCTTTGAAAAAGGGGGAGAGGTGGAATATGAATGTTGCAACAATAAAGAAATAGGCATATGCTTTGAATGCTGTGCATTATATTAAAAAAAGTGATCCTACTTTGGATTGGGAACACAGTAGGAATCAAAGAATTAAAGCCCCCAGATATCCAACTCCCTCTCCCTCTCCCTCTCCCTCTCCCTCTCCCTCTCCCTCTCTCTCTCTCTCTCTCTCACACACACACACACACACACACACACACACACACACACACACGGGGAGGGGGAGGAAGGAGCACTTTCATTTAGATCAAGTCCCCAAACTTATTTTTGAATTTAAAAAATGTCACATTTTTTACATAATTTTTTACTTTAAAGGTACATACATCTTTAAAGTACCATGTAGTGACTCTTAGAAAGAGTTTAGCATGTGGAGCAAACTCAGAGAAGTGACTCACAGAGGACCCAAGTAGCTGCTTCAGAGGGGGACTGTGTGCCTGTTCTGGTAGTGACTGAACAATAGAATGACAGCTGATATAACCACTTTGCAAAATTACCCCTAGCAGAGGCTTATTGGAAAGGGGCAAGGCTAAATCAGCACCTAGTGGAGAGATGCACCAGATAGTTTTATCTGTGCATGGATACTTTGTGCTTATAGGCCACTGTCCCAGCACACTGTGGCAATGACCATTTACAGAGTCATTGTAAATTGGCAAATTATCTTCATCGTGTACTGTGGAGGAGTAGAGGGGCTCACCCATTTACCCTTGGCATTCAGAGGAGACAGAAGTGCAGGGACAACACCTGGCCTAGAACTTTCCCAGGCAGGACAAGGCACAGGCCCCTGAGTGCCAGGATGTGAGGGTGCACATGCATTCAAGCAGAATTATCCACCGGGGCAGCTGGGGTGGGAGGAGTGGCAGTGGCAAAGGGAAGATAAAGAGGGGAGAAAGGGGGAACCAGAGGAGAAGGGAAAGGACAGAGATGTTGAGAAGGAAGAGTGAAGGAGGAGTGAAGGGAAAGAGGCTTTACGGGAGGGAGACAGAAGCAAGCTGGCTTTTCCTCCTCAAAAGATGCAAAGCCCAAACAGCCTGAAAGAAGCTGCAAGGGGAAGCTTAGCACCAGGGAGGAAATGTTCCTTGTCATGCCAGCTATAACACAACTCCCTACCTCAGGACCTGGGAGGAGGGAGAACTTAGGCCAGTGTAGGATCTAGGCCCTCTGTGAAGTGCAGCAGTGGCTAGTTAACTGTAGGTTGCAATAGAACCCAGCAAGTAACCTTCCTTTCTTTGTGGGTCCTGCATGGAAGTCAGGGAGCAGGGAGCCTTCAGCATTCCCCTCCCTCCTGATCCCGTAACATGTAGTCACTAGCACTACCCAAACTCCCATGGCTTGCCTCACAGTGCACTTGTATGCATTGATTCTTGTATCAGATGCACTGACATGGAAACGTTCCATGACAGAACAGGCTGCCGTAAAATAGGGATGCAACATAGGAAGAGTGCACATGAGCTGGCCTGCCAATTTGATGCACCCTTCAGTGTACTGCCAGTGCAGCCAAAGGGAATGGGTTTGCAGCAATACCCATGCCACAAACGGCTGAATGGGCCTCGCCCATAGACCAAGGACATGGATCACTGAGCAAGTGGTAACACAGTGAGCATCCAGCTAAATGGGTTTTCTGCACTCAGTACTACCATAAGTGTGTCTGCAAAGAGCATCACTATCACATTTTGCTAGGAAGCTCACCAGAGAAAGGGAGCTGATGGCAGTTACTGCACTTGTGCTGTGCAAGTGCTTATAAATCCAGGGTCAAGAAAGAGGCGGTTTTCTAAGGACAGTCACAGTGAGTTTCTAAGCAAAGGTATAAGATCACTTGCTACCAGGTGCTGTCAATTCCTTGTTTCATCCTTTGCTGAAATTAACTGGGATAGCTGGGTCTTCTCTCACCCTTTCTCCCTTGTCTCTGAGGAACAGAGCTTGTGTGTACTGAGAGCCTCTGAAACAGAGGGAGAGAGGAATTGCAGAAAACATCTACTTCTGCTTCATTGACTATGCTAAAGCCTTTGATTGTGTGGATCACAACCAATTGTGACAAGTTCTTCAAGAGATGGGAGTACCTGATCATCTTACTTGTCTCTTAAGAAACCTACATGTGGGTCAAGAAGCAACAGTGAGAAATGGGCATGGAACCACTGATTGGTTCAAAATTGAGAAAGGATTTTGGCAAGGCTGTATACTGTTACCTTGCCTATTTAACTTATATGCAGAGCACATCATGAGAAAGGCGGGGCTAGATGAATCATCAGTTGGAATTAAGATTGCTGGGAGAAATATCAACAACCTCAGATATGCAGGATACCACTCTCATGGCAGAAGGTGAAGAGGAACTAAAGAGCCTCTTGATGCAGGTGAAGGAGGAGAGCGCAAAAGTTGGCTTGAAACTCAACATTAATAAAACTAAGATCATGGCATATGGGCCTCTCACTTCCTGGCAAATAGATGGGGAAGAAATGGAGGTAGTAACAGATTTTATTTTCCTGGGCTCCAAGATCACGGCAGACGGGGACTGCAGCCAAGAAATTAAAAGATGCTTGCTCCTGGGGAGGAAAGCTATGGCAAATCTAGACAGCATACTAAAAAGCAGAGACATCACCCTGCCAACAACAGTGCGTATAGTCAAGGCTATCGTTTTCCCAGTTGCAATGTATGGCTGTGAAAGCTGGACCATAAGGAAGGCTGAGCGCCAAAGGATTGAGACCTTTGAATTGTGGTGCTGGCGGAGACTCCTGCGAGTCCCTTGGACAGCAAGGCGATCAAACCGGTCAGTCCTAGAGGAGATCAACCCTGACTGCTCTTTAGAAGGCCAGATCCTGAAGATGAAACTCAAATACTTTGGCCACCTAATGAGAAGGAAGGACTCCCTGGAGAAGAGCCTAATGCTGGGAACAATAGATGGCAATAGAAGAAAGGGATGGCAGAGAATGAGGTGGCTAGATGGAGTCACTGAAGCAGTTGGTGTGAGCTTGAGTGAACTCCGGAGGATGGTGGAGAACAGGAAGGCCTGGAGGAATGTTGTCCATGGGGTTGCGATGGGTCAAACACAACTTCACGACTAGCAACAACAACAACGTTTTCAATAAACTGAAGGTTTTCTTTGACACGGGTGATTTTATGTCTTCCTAGGTATCCATAAATCTGAAATGAGATGCCTTGTCTAGACCAGGTTTCTGAAGGCAAAACAAGTTCTCATCACCCCTTGCTATTGTCTAGGCTGGCTAGGGCTGAAGGAAATTATAGACTATTACTTTTGAGTGCCACAAGTTCCTAACACTTAGCTTTAATGCTAGACAGCAGCACTTAGACACATGCCAGCAGCCAATGCAATTCTTTAAAATGCTTAACAACCCTGTGAAGCAGGCAAGGCAGAGAGTTAGTGGCTTGCCAACCCAGTGGGCTCCAAAGCTGAACACATATTTGAATCTAGTTTTCCCACATGCAGACCCAGCCCTCTAGGTCTATGCTCAATGAACTAGAAATGTAATGGAGAAGGACTGTGTGAGCTGCTTTGCATTCCTTGCAACAGGTAGAAAAAGCAGGATATAAATGCAGTGTGATGATGATGATGACTCAACCCTGAATGTTCTTTAGAAGGACAGATACTGAAGCTGAAGCTCAAATACTTTGGCCACCTCATGAGAAGGAAGGACTCATTGGAAAAGACCCTGATGCTGGGAATGATTCAATGCAAAAGGAGAAGGGGATGGCAGAGATTGAGGTGGCTGGATGGGGTCACTGAGGAGGTGGGTGTGGGGTTAGAAGGACGCCAGGGGAAGGTGGAAGATAAGAGAACCTGAAGGAATGTTGTCCATGTGGTTGCAAAGAGTCGGGCATGACTGTGCAACTCAACAACAACAAGATGATGATGATGATGTTGGCAGGGACAAATTGTTCTTCAAACAACTGTGAAACATTATAATCAATGTTTATGCAGAAGGAGTAGGGATATGTTCTTTGGTTAACAAAAATGTATCCAGCAATTGTGAGCTTCAGTACCAATATAAAGAACAAAACAGGAAATGGGGCCAGTAGTCCACATCTCAACAGAAAAGGGGCTGGACCAATTAAATCAGGGAATCTCAGTGTATTTCCTGAAGGCACTGCAGAACTCTGCTTTGCAAACATTCAACTTATCTCTAAGCTAATGAATTCCTTCAGTATGTATGAAGGAAAAGATGCAGAGGAAGAAATGGAGTCCACATTTTCTTCCTGGCAGATATTGTCAGCAATTGGCTTGGTATGTATAAATGACTACTGAAATGATTGCTGGCATGAACACCACTGATAGATCCAATCTGGAACCATGCGAGTGATCTGTGTGGGGGTTTGTTTTTTGTTTAAACAAATGGACATTGTGCAGCTTCAAAGTGCTCTGGCTATTTTGTCAGAATCAAATGTAAAGATATGATGATGCATATTGCAGATCTATGACCAGAATGGCTGCCCCGGAAAATTTGCCATGAGAGGAAGTGATAGGCTGAGATGTCTTGAAAAAGGAATCTTGAGCTTCCATGCCCAGAGGCAATTTTATTTATTTATTTATAACATTTTTATGCCACCCCCATCGCAGAAAGCCTCAGGGCGGCTTACAAAGCAGGATAAAACAAACATAGAATAAACATTAAAAATTAGGAGCATCTTGGCTGTATCATAAACCCAATAAATAAAAACAACAGTTAACAATTAAATTTTCATGCAGTTTGTTCAAAGTTAAACTACCTTATGACCCACATTGTCTCTAGTATATGCCTATGGATGATGTTTGCTATGCTTTTCCAAACTGTTGCTCCTTAGGAAAACCCAGTGTGATCCATGTAGAAATTCCTTCTTTCTTTTTCTTTGCGGACCAGATTATAGATGTTTATTGCATATTTATTTAATTTCAGGCACCAGTTTATTACAGGAAGTGGTATATCTAGTGAGCCAAGGAGCCGATCCGGATGAAATTGGATTAATGAATATAGATGAGCAGCTTCCAGTCCTAGAGTATCCTCAGCCTGGTCTAGACATTATCAAGGTACAGCTTAATCTCCTGAAAATGTGTTATCCCTTTGAAATTGTTATAGTTTTATTTCTGCTTATTTGGCTTGTATTCAAACCCGTTCATGATTCCTTTTTGTGAATGGGCCAGTGGATTATATTAGAATGATTCTTAATGCATCCATTTGCCTTAACACATTACTAAGACATTTGGTAAGATTTATTATGCTTTCACATGGTATGCAGTTATCTAAATGTTCCAGTATGTGGCACTTTGAACCTCATGGCAGGCTTAGTATGTTACCAAAAAGCATCAAAAGAGAACATCTGAGTGGCTGAATGGCGCATCCTGTTTTGGGGCTTTGTTTTGTTTCATACATTAATAGACTATAAGCCTGTAGGAGGGAACCATTTCACAAATTCCTCTTGTGCAGGAGCTAGAACAGCAGAAATACTATTATAAACATCTGATGATAATGATAATAAATTGTGTGTGTGTGTGTTTGTCATGCATACATCTCTTTGGGACAGTGCCTTTAATACATACTAATGAGACAGCCAGGTCTTTCTGGTTGTCATGCCATGCTAAGGCATTATCTGGTGGAGCATGGCAAATTTGATTCCTGTAACACATGTTCCTGTGTGGTTAGAATGTTTAGCACTTTGGTATGTCAGGAACCATTCAGCTGAACAAGTTCAGACACAACAAATTAGTTCTTCCTCTGAGTTTGTCAGAGGTAAAAAAAATTGCACAGCCCTTGACTTTATTCAAGATGGGAAGCTCCTTTTAGTGAAATTATTGAGTGGGGTAGGCCTAGGGAATTTCTCTAATAACTACTCCAGTTCAAATTTGAACATTAAACTTTATCAGGCCTACGTGGGAAGTTTTGTGCTGCAATGTAATACCAATCTAGATTATATAAGCTTTGAAAGACTGCTGATTTCTAGGAATGTGAGTAGCCAGGTCTAGTTTCAGAAAATATTTACATGCTTAGAGTTGGCTAGAAAGCACAGTTATCAGCACAGATGAGTTAATAGATGTGTGACTGCAATGTTACAAAGGTAGCCATGCTGAAGATGAGTTTGGACGGTGATCAGAAAGATGGTCAACACATGAATCAGAGCATATCAAATACATAAAGCACTTCCACTCCTGTAAGGATGTCTGTGGCTTAATGTACAAAAACAAAAAAGCAGAATGCTAACAAAGCTGGGATTCACAATTTAAGACCTTTCTAAGGGCCTCCTTATTCACATATTTATATAAAAAAGCAGTTCTGAAAAGTTGACTGAAGTCTAACCATTCCCACCTGCAAAAACTTCTCTCTTCAAAATTACAGTATAAGGGAATATTTTCTCTGGCCATACAAGTATGAAGGGTGGGGAAAGGAATAAAAGGGCTCTGTCACTGAACTTCCAAGTGTGTGCACCTTACATGACAATTCTATGAATATTTAGAAGTGAACCCATCTCTGGACAATGGTCCTCATTCCCAGGGAAATTGGCCATTTAGAAATATAGCCTAAGTCGCTGCAGCAGATAAGATTAGCAAAGGAGGCTGATACTTACTGTCATGTGCCATCCAGTCATCTCCAGCTCATGGCAACCTCATGAATGAATGAAAGGCCTCCAAAATGTCCTGTCCATGAAAGCCATGCTCAGATCTAAGTTCACAGCTGTGGCTTTCTTTATGAATTCCATCCATCTCATCTTCCTCTTCTTCTGCCTTTGACTTTCCCAGCATGATTGTGGCATCCCAAGTGAGCATCCCAGAGGGGGGACCGACATCCAGAGGAAACAGTGTTTTATCATCACCATCCACTGACCACTTAGAGCTTTTCTATGTGAGGGTGTTAATCATTTGTATCAACTTTTGATTTTGTTACAGAATTAAGATCTGAGCACTACATGAATTAAGATCTGAGCACTACATGAAAACTGCTTGTCTTCCTGATATCTCTAGGTGGCACTGGAGTAGAATAATAACAAAACACAAGAGCAAATTGTACTTTTTCCACTTTGACTAGTAAATGCTGCATCTTCCTTGCTCTAAACTAGTTGAAAACAATGGTTAGGCACAGATGACTTTAAATAAACTGTAAATAAACATGAGCAGAGAATGGTGACTAAATGATATGCAGCTCCTGTAAAAAAAGCTCTTAGTCTCTGTTGCTTGGGAAGAAGTGGAGTCAATGGGCCAAGAACTGCAAGACAGCATCCCTTGGGATTTATTTATTTATTTATTTATTTGCTTTTTTCCTGGAATTTGACCCATCAGCTTGCTCCCAGTGTTTTTGTGGGGTCAATTTAATAGATCTACCAAATCTATTAAATCTACTAAAACTCCAAATAGTCTGCAAAACACAGAACAGAAATACTACTCATTGTTGTTTTTAAACAGCAGCAACAACATTCCCGTGTGTGTTTTCTTCAGTGGTGTGTTCTATTGAATTTCACTGGCACATGCTTTTAATCTAAAATGAAATTATGATCTGAAGCTGCATGAAACCCACTCCTGAATAGTAGCAGCTGCAAAGAACATGGGGAACATGGTCCTTTCCAAGACATCGAATAAGGGTTATGCATGCAAAGCAAGGAAGCAGAAACACAAAAATCACCAGAATGAAAATTGGGACTGGAGCACCAATAATTTTAGCTTCTGAAATGGGCAGTAAGGTGAACAGAAGTACAAAACAAAGGGCTCTAGAACACATAGGAAAAGGCAATATAATATCAAGTGTGTATTTATTCCCTTCATTCCATAGGAGCTTACATCTCCTCGCCTAATCAAAAGCCACCTGCCATATCGTTTCTTGCCTTCAGACCTTCATAGTGGTGATTCTAAGGTAACTCTGAAATTAGCTTTGTGTTATGTGTATATTTTGGGAAAATGGAGGGGAGGGGTAGAAAAAGGACCACTCAGCCAGATTAACCTTTCTCATATTTTTAGGTAATATACATGGCTCGCAACCCCAAAGACCTGGTAGTCTCTTATTACCAGTTCCACCGTTCCCTGCGGACCATGAGCTACAGAGGAACATTTCAAGAGTTCTGCCGGAGATTTATGAATGATAAGTGTAAGACACTTTTAGCCTGCCCATGTTTTTAATTTTGTTCCACATTTCTTCTTAGTAACAAAGTGTAACATTACATTTTTAAAGTCCTGGTTCAGCTGTGGCATTTGTCTTTGCCTGTGGGTGGGCCAGACCTTTCCAGTTCCTTTTCTTCTACTACATTTCAGTGAGGGAGGAAGGGAGGAAAGTGTGCATTCAGAGGGGGGATGAAGATAGTGCAGAATGGGCTTATTACTAAAATTCAATGCACTTGTTTCAGGTTAGCTTCTATCTTTCAGAGAAGTTCTGAACAATTGTGGTAAGTTCCTTTGGGGTTCTTGTCTTCACAGTAGGATATGGCTCCTGGTTTGAGCATGTGCAGGAATTTTGGCAACATCATATGGATTCCAATGTACTCTTTCTCAAGTATGAAGATATGCACAAGGTAAGATCAGAAAGTTAAAGGTACCCTTTTACTACCTATTTTTTCCCCTAGTTTCCTCTGAAACAGAGATGACCTCAGGGGCATCTTGTTTTGGTCAATTATATCAGAAAGCATTTGAGAGATTTGACTTGCAGTGCCATTTATTTATATTTGTAAGCTATCAGTTTCTGCTGTAAGGCAGAGTTTTACATTGTAGGAGAAAAAAAACAAAATACACGAAAGACCACATAAAGGTGTTTCCAGTTGTCCTCGCTTTTCCGGCTGTTTTCCTATGTTTTCCTATGGACTGTTGCCTTGGTGATCAGAAGCCCCCAAAATTCGAGGCTTATGGTCCTCTTAGGCAGGGCAGGAGGAGTGCCTTAATCAATCTTTGCTTCCCCATCATCCTCCTGAATTGATGGGGCTTTTCAGTGGCTGGATCCACATGTGTAGTGCCCAGTTGTGGATATCATGTGGTTTCTCTTGCAGCTAGGGATGTCTATATGGATGGGAGGTTTTGTATCTAGTTAGCCAATTATACTTTCCTACATTAGCAGGCAGAAACTCTCATGACACTATTTCTAGCCAGTTGCAAGACATTGTTAAATCTGATGTCCCCTGCTATTCAGTCATCTGATTGTTGCTAGGTGTGAAGTTACGTCCAACCCTTTGCGACCCCATGGACAACACTCCTCCAGGCCTTCCTGTCCTCTACCATCCCCTGGAGTCCACTTAAGCTCACACTGACTGCTTCAGTAACTCCATCTATCCAGCTTGTCCTCTGCCGTCCCCTTCTTCTTTTGCCGTCAATTGTTCCCAGCATTAGGGCCTTCTCCAGTGAGTCCTTCTTTCTCATTAGGTGGCCAAAGTATTTGAGTTTCATCTTCCGTATCTGGCCTTCTGAAGAGCAGTCAGGTTGATCTCCTCTAAGACTGACTGGTTTGATTGCCTTGCAGTCCAAGGGACTCGCAGGAGTCTTCTCCAGCACCACAATTCAAGGCCTCTTCGACGCTCAGCCTTCCTTATGGTCCAACTTTCACAGTCATAAATTGCAACTGGGAAAACCATAGCCTTGACTATACGCACTTTTGTTGGCAGAGTGATGTCTCTACTTTTTAATATGCTGTCTAGATTTGCCATAGCTTTCCTCCCCAGGAGCAAGCGTCTTTTAATTTCTTAACTGCAGTCCCCATCTGTGGTGATCTTGGAGCCCAGGAAAATAAAATCTGTCACTACCTCCATTTCTTCCCCATCTATTTGCCAGGAAGTGAGAGGACCAGATGCCATGATCTTAGTTTTCTTAACGTTGAGTTTCAAGCCAACTTTTGCACTCTCCTCCTTCACCCGTATCAAGAAGCTCTTTAGTTCCTCTTCACTTTCTGCCATTAGAGTGGTATCATCTACATATTTGAGGTTGTTGATAATTCTTCTGTGTAATCTTTTCACCTCTTTCTGCCTTAATCTCTTCTGCCTCTGTTAGTTCCCTGCCATTTTGGTCCTTTATCATGCCCATCTTTGCATGGAAAGTTCCCTTCATATCCCCAATTTTCTTGAAGAGATCTCTGGTCCTCCCTATTCTATTGTTTTCCTCTGTTTCTTTCCACTGAAGAAGGCATTCTTATCTCTTCAAGCTATTCTCTGGAATTCTGCATTCAATTAGGTTTCAAGCCAACTTTTGCACTCACCTCTTCAACCCACATCAAGAGGCTCTTTAGTTCCTCTTCACTTTCTGCCGTTAGAGTGGTTTCATCTGCATATCTGAGGTTGTTGGTATTTCTTCCAGCAATCTTAATTCCAACTGGTGATTCATCTAGCCCCGCCTTTCTCATGTTGTGCTCTGCATATAAGTTAAAAAGGCAGGGCAACAGTATACAGCCTTGCCGAATTCCTTTCCCAATTTTGAACTACTCATTAGTTCCATGTCTAGTTCTCACTGTTGCTTCTTGACCCACATATAGGTTTCTCAAGGGACAAATAAGTTGGTCTGGGACTCCCATTTCTCTAAGAACTTGTCACAATTTGTTGTGATCCACACAATCAAAGGGTTTAGCATAGTCAATGAAGCAGAAGTAGATGTTTTTCTAGAATTCCCTAGCTTTCTCCATGATCCAGCATATGCTACCAATTTGATCTCTAGTTCCTCTGCCTCTTTGAAACCCTGCCTGTACTTCTGGTAGTTCTCGGTCCACATACTGCTGGAGCCTAGCTTGTAGGATTTTGAGCATAACTTTGTTAGCATGTGAAATGAGTGCAATGTTGCAGTAGTTTGAACATTCTTTGGCATTGCCGTTTTTTGGGATTGGAATGTAAACTGAATTTCCAATCCTGTGGCCACTCTTGAGTTTTCCAAATTTGCTGGCATATTGAGTGTAGCACTTTTACTGCATTGACTTTTGAGATTTTGAATAGCTCAGCTGAAATACTGTCACCTCCACTAGCTTTGTTGTTGCTCAGATGTCCTAAG